CTCCACCTTTCGCCTCACGAGCTCAAGAGTAATGCCCTCGAAGAGGAAGTCAACTCAAGACCTAGTTCGGCGCAGTTTGTCAAGACATGGAGGCGGTTCTTGGACGTTGGTATTCGGTCTCCGTCGCTGGAGGAAAGAATGGGTTGAGCTTTCCAGATCCACTGCCGCAGATCGCCACGCGCAGAGGTAAAATATACGACATCGTCAAAGCCACCTAGATCAAGCATGATCGCAGCTGTAACAAGTGCAAGTAGTCCAAGTATAATTGGCGCCCGACAGTAGCATGCATGAGCCTAGGGTTCAAAACTACCACGCCGAAATCAGTACCGCGGCTGTGAATGGGAATGAACGTACAGACACCATCGGAGTCAACAGACCTTCTGCGAAGTACGTACAGTCAGCACTAGATCCCATTTAACGTTGTTCTGAGATACGTTTTCCATGAGGGAAGATTACGTAAGTAGATTTGTGGTTGAGATTATTGGGCAACACAATCCCAACAGGATATTAAGAATAAGCTAGTATGGTGCCTTTTAAAAGTACCTTGTGATCGGTTGTAAATGCGGTATTTGATAATAAGGGCTACTTAAGTAGTGCAGTTTCTTCTACTGATTTTCGATGCTCTTGCAAATTCAAATATATTTTATAGAAAAGATTGAGCAAAAGTAGTCTTTCTTGCGCGTAGATGATAGCAAATGACGTTGCCTTCAAATTTCATACATGAAGGAATGCTATCTTTCTGTTTAAAAAGTGTCTAATGGTGAGATTTATTAAGACCGCAAAATGTCCATTCGAATCGCGCCGTATCCGTTCATCTAAGAACACTCTCGATAAGTATAAAGCTAAGTCCACACTCGCTGCTAAATGTCTTGGGTACTATAAGGTAGCTTCTTAATGATATAGAGGCGTAAATGCTACTCTTTAAACTAAAGGCATACAATTCGTATGCCGCAACCGCAGATCGAGCTCAAAAGTATTCTGGAACTGAAAAACGTTTTAATAACTAAATATAGCCTTTATTTGAATAGAAAAATGAAGAGGTAGTTGGCTGCCAAATGAGTGAAGGAAGATATATTTTTACATGCATTTTCTGTAAAATATATTTGAATTTATAAGGACGTCGAAAACCGATGTAAAAATGCGTACTACTCAATTTATGATTTTTGTTGAGTGCGGTTAACGTAAGCGGTCGAAAAGGCGCGCACTTAAAAGCCGGCATCTTGGCATGTGTTAACTAGCTTTGTATTAAGCATTCCTTAATCTAACGCGCATTTCAGAATTTCGGTCAATGTTCACGAGTTCGGTCATTGACTTTTTGTCGCTTCGCAAAAGAGCACAGAACAGGTGTTGCGAACTCCTTCTTTGTGACAAAGGTGCATATCATAGTATAAGAACTAGAATACAAAAATGTACAAGAAAATGTGAACTTTTTCACTCCGTGTCGTCAAGTCGCTCTCGGAGATATTGCTGACTTCTTTATATATGTAATTGTTCGATGTGTCTTAGTCAGTCTTGAGTAATTAGGTCACTCTAAGTGTCAAATTTGACTGTAGGCATTCGTGTGGGTAAGCCTGTTTGTCAGCTCCTTTCGCATGCAGCTCCTATGTTATATGGTGGTGCGAGGCTGAGACTACTATGGTTTACCGTGGCTGAAAAGAGAGCCCGCTGAGGCATGTACCAGACACAGCATCAGCTCGGTGTGTATTGTGCAGGTAGTGGCAAGCAATACACGATCGGCTACGATGTTTAAGAAGGGAAGACAAGAAGTAAGTGAGCTTACCGAGGTGCGCGTCTCTGCATATAGACACTTCCATGACCGAGTCGACAGGTGGCGAGTCAGTCTCCGCAAAAGGAGCGGGTTCAGGCTTGCTGGTATCTGCGTTGGCAGAATGATGACATGTGCAGGTGCATTGATTATGGCTCGTTGGAGTACCTCCACATACTCTTTTTAAGGCAGTTGAGCGCAATACCCGGGCTTCTGCTTCGGAGGCGGCACGCAAGCTTTCGCGCTCCTTGACAAATTCCAATATCTGGTAGGGGAGGAAGGTAGGGAGCGAGAGAAGAAAGTGAAGTATAGGATGACCAAGCAAACAGCAGCACCAGTATAGAAGATAAGATGGTATACGAATTCGGCATACGGATTCCATGCCCACAGACCTACCTTTATGTCGAATGTGACGTAATAAACTGATTGCGCACGCATGTGGTGTTAAATCCTTTCGACGAAATAAAGGACTTTAAGAGTTAACCATCTAACGTAGCCGATAAGTAATGCGCTCTGCGCTTACGGAACCGTACTCGCATAAGACTACGTCGGCTGTTGAACATTTTGGACAGCCCGTCAAACGCTGAGACAAATCACAGTCAGCTTGATACTGTAATGCTGCTTTCGTTTATCGAGCGCAGGCTAGGAAGCCGAGATTCTATATCCTTAACAGAGCACTGTGTTGCAAGCGTAGACGGGCTGGGTAGTCTCGTCTGCCAATTATCATGTGGTACACGTAGACGGGCTGGTTAGTCTCGTCAGCCGAGCATTGTGGGACACACGCCTCGTCAGCCAGAGCGTCCACGTTCACTCTGAGTCATCAAGCTCAGTCCTCCATCGCACATTATAGGGGAAGAAAAAGGTAGAAGCTGACGAAGTGTGTTTCATTACAAAGAAATTGGCGCGCAGACTATCATTCTGACCACCTTGTAGGACAGTGAATCTACTCACGGACGATGGTCGAACTGTAGCTTCTTGAACGGAACTTCGCAGTTTTCTGCTGGAACAAAACTGGAAAAATCTTGATCCAAGGTCTGGATTAGGTTATGCTGAACCTACGCAAACCCTTGGTTATGCTTTTTTAGCTGACCTTATACTTCAGCGACATTTCAAATCGGTCAAGAATTTCGTGGACCGTATTCTTAGTGAGGACGCTCACCCTCTCCACTCCGAACTAATGGCTGCGAAGTCTTCTCGTACGACGCGCCGAAACTTCCGTCACATGACATGTCGTACATCGGCCTACCAGTACTCGGTACTCCCATTCTTAGCACGATTCCTCACGTGTGAAGAAACGGAAATTGAGAAGCTGAAGGCAGACCTGATTCCATAACTGATGTGGTAACCGTGTCGATTTCTTACTTTGAGTTTTTTGTGATCTTTGACCGTTTACTCTTGAGCTTTTTGGACCCCTTAAATTGCCTTATTTTTGCTCTCCGTGAATGAAGCCATTTTTTGCTGAAAGTTTGATATTACCATCAAAATAAGGTTCTCTATCTATCTATCTATTGTCACACACGCGGTAGTACGCGCGAGATGATGGCTCAAGCTACATCCGACACTGCGACCGACCGCATCTTCAGTCAACCAACAGGCTCGGACAGATCATTCATACACCAGAATTGAAGATTAGGAGGTTAACACCAAGGCACCCCTTTGATAGCAATTCAGTACATTTTTGTCAAAACATGTCTTATAAAACATGTCTTATGAACCGAGTGTGACGAGAAAAGAGCTCTGGTTTGGACGGTCCTCGGTTTACGGGCTAACTGAGTTCCCCTTAAAATACTGGTCAGACTTCAATGGCTCCTTCATAATAGGACCTTTATGACGAACCCATTTAGGTGAGAACCCCTCCCGCTCCTATTTAAGTGCTATTTCATGGGGGTATAGTGATCGTAATATTTGCGGCACACGTAAACGTGGCTGGCGTCTCGCAAGCTGCTGTATCCACACACACAGTCGGTCAACTTGACTTGGTCTTGGTATCGGAACATGATGGGTGTGGGAAAGTTCGAAATAAATGCTTCGAAGACATACTTTACTATAGACAAATTGAAGCAGAAGTCAACTCTACGCCCACCCAAGCTGACCTAGTAGCTTGGCAACGTCCTGTGTAATTACCAGGCTGCCTGGTCTCTAATTTTGACGGATAATTTTGAGGCAAATTGATTCCATAAAAACGAGTTTGCGTGTTGTAACTTCACCCTGTTTGACAGTGTTATCACGTCCGATACGCTTGCAAACAATGACTAAAACGGACCAGTCGACATCCAGATAGCGTACGTATCGATCAAGTAACGTCAAGGCCACATGATTTTGAGGAATCAGCGGAAAACAGAACCCTCTTAAACATCCACAAATAGTAGTATGAAGCTGATACAATGCCTAATTGCGGCAAAATTGCGGACGTCTATTAGCGGATACCTTCATGGGCAAAATGGAGAGCAACAAACTTTCTCCCATTAAAAAAGTAGAAAGTTGAGAAGAAAACAAGAGAAATTGGTGCTGAGGTAATCCTGAGAGAAACACACTGGCTGTTACTACCGACGATATCAGAAACCATTAGCATGCTGGAAAAGGCTGTTCGAGAGAGAAAAACTGAAATCTTACAGTGTGTTCAGCCGTTTCCAGTGCCGCTCGTACTTGCTGGTACTGCGAATTAAGCCGTTCGTAGGAGGCCGACCTACCTGCTTGCGACTGAAGATTTTTCACCTGCGGTGCAAATTTGACAAAAATATCATAAGAGTTCACAAGGCTGTTTAATTTGAACAGCAAAATAACCAAGACAGGAAGTTGTAAGAGATTTCAAAAAAAACGAAGACACCAAATAGACTGAAAAAAGTGGGAACCTACAAGACTCTCGAGTTCACCGTTTTCTCTGAGCAAGTTCTCGTTGTCCTCCTGGACGTATTTTAAGCTTTCGACCTTCTCGTTTGCAGACTCGAGTAACTCTCGCAAGCTAAAGTGGTTTCCGAAAAAAAGGATGTTCAATAGCAAGAGACGAGTTTTCAGACAACCAAATGCGAAAAATAGAATCTAGTGTAAAAAGGTCTACACATGTGGTGCTCTATACGTACATTGGTTGACTATTTCCGGGTAGCGGTTTAGCCGGTTTATTTACTCAAAGCCTAATTCATCTTTCTTTCACTGACTGTGAATCGCTTTGCCTGTACTGCTGATCAGCAGCGGCAAACGACGTAGGCAACCCTTCTGGGAAAACAGAGAGCATTCTAGGTGTTTACTACCTGCCGTGGAAAGAAAACACAATTCCACAATCAAATCGACTCTTCCTAATTAATACATTCTCCTATCTTCTGTTGAACAATTTTGGAATTCTCCACGTCCATCTCCGGTGAAATTCTGTCTGAACTACATGCTATTGGTTGCTTCCCGTTTTGTTCAATTATTCACATTGGTTGGCCTT